GACCAGTACGCCTCGGAAGAGTCATGAACATTCCAACCCGATATCGTTTTATGACCCCTTTAAACTTCACGGGGTGCAAAATAAAAGCAGTGAAGGGTTGCTGTTAACAAGTGAAAACTAAAATTGTCGAATTAGCACACACGAACGGAGGAGACAATTTCTCAGGAATACTATCACCCTTTCCACTTCGGTGAAGAAGGAAGACCAGCGAAGCTGTACTATGTTGGGAATGAAGTAATGGCCGGCCGCAAGTCGGCAAGCCAGAATGGAAAGGCTGAAAGAGGTTGCCGCCGTCTATGCGCGACAGCGGCAACCAGACAACCAGCAAGTCGGTTGTCTGGTTGCCGTCGTCACTTATAGATGGGGGTAGCTGTCCAGAGTTTAGTGTCGTCATTTGTTTGCTGACGGACACGATACTGGGGCAATAGCCCTTAATAGCTCCGCTGTAAAAAGAAGTGTTTGTGTGTGTGTGTGTGTGTGTGTGTGTGTGTGTATGTGTGTTTGTGTGTGTGTATGTGCTGGGTGTGTGGGAAAGAGGGGGGTTAATTTTAAAAACCTACTGTGTTGTAAAGGTTCCTCTTCCCTGCATCTTTGGCGCAGACCAAAAAGCGTGACCCCGGAAACTACTTTGTGTGCAAAAGGATCTTGCCAAATAGCACGTTTTTGTCGTTCCAGACGCTCGCGCCGTTCCTCACGACGATGCACTAAGAATAGTAATATGTGCTTTAGAATACTTGACTTTCACTAAGCTTGAACCTCCTGCAGCATTTATTTTGCACCATCGAATTCGAATTTGTTTGCAAGAAGAAATCACAACGACCACCAACCTATAGTGTGATGATGTCACGTGCATACCATGTTAAACAGTTAAGGTTTCTGGTGAAATGTGATGCTTGCAACACTATCAATAGATGTCCTAATTGTAAAGTTGTGCGATTTTTTAGCGGTCCCGCGATGATAAATGGCAGCCTAGAGAAATGTTAGCGCGCATGACTATACAAGAATAGGTTAAAGTGAGGGCCAAAACAAGTGCAGGTAAAACCGAATATAACATTAGCCTCCCGAGGCAGTATTTCGCGAAGTTTCGAGCTTATGGAAGCTGATAAATTGTGATTTATACTAAGATTTTAAGAATCCTTGTCTGTCCTTCGCCCTATCTATGTAAAATTATATATTTCATTGCGTGCATTTGTACGCATATCTTTTTGCAGTAAGGCGTTCTTTAAGGGATTGTTTAGAAAAATAACATTAATTATCTCTCTATTTTTGAACATTTCATATATTTGACTTCCAATCTATTATGTGAGCACAGAGCCCTCTATAGCGTACCCTGCAACTCGATGTCTCAAACTGCCAATCAGCAAACAGAAAAACTCTTTTACGCAGACCCACAGCTCGCGTAGTTTCGAGTATCGTCCTTTCTCGTCGGTCTCAAGCGGTTATGGGAACTTTATAAAGTAAAATTTATTGATCGTTATAAAAATATATTTAATTACTAACTGAATATTAGACAACACAAATAAGTGCCCGATCACACTAAAGCAATGCCCCCCCCCCCCCCCCCCCCAAATTATCTGAAAAATGTTCTGCCAATCTTTTCCGGCGTTTTTATCCTCGACAGCCACGTTGTACGTGATATGGGACAGCCTTACACACATTCCTGATTTTGAAGCTAATTTAAATAACTGTGTTCCTCACACATATAACTTCTCAAGCATATAGAAGTCTGTTATTGCCTCTTTTATGTGGGGAACGTTACTTTTATGTGTCTGTGGGCTGGACAAAAACAAAGTAAACAAGGGCGCGTGGCGGAACTATGACGATTACGCACGCAAACCGTCAGAAAGTGTTCAATTAAGTAGCTGCCATGTCGAGTAGAATGTGGAATACTACTTCGACTTACTTAACAAAAAAGAATCTTGGAGTACGCTTAAGCTTCGCCATTAAAGGTGGAACGCGATAGCCTTAACGGGCCTTGTTTGCACCGCATTCTCATTTGCCACGAAAGCGTGCCTCGCGTGGCCTAGTCAAAAGCGTCTGACCCGCACCCGAAGGGTCGTGGGTTCAAATCCCGCCTAAAATTCTTAATTTTTTTTTTCTTTAAGGCAAAGAATTACTTTAGAAAGTGAAATCATTTGAGACATAGGGCGAACTTTAATTCGCATTACATGTCATGTTTTAATCACTCTCATTCCACGCGTGATGTTACGTTTCACATGAGCATTGTGGGTTGTTTGAAATTCTTGCACTGGGGCATGTAGCTCTGACGTCATCACCCTATCGACCAACCAAGATTTTCTAGTCACGCCACCGACATCGGGTTTTCTGCGACATGAGTTCCTTAACACTATCGCGTTAAAGTCATCAATTAGCAAGGGTGATGCTCCTTTGCAAATTAAATTGGCCGGCATCTTGTCAAGAACAAACCTCAACAGCCAGGCTATGCCAGCTTCTTCTGTGTAAGAAAATGTTCATTTGGACAAGCGCTATTTTGGGGCAGATTCGATCGGAGTGCGAAGGTGCGTATAGATTAGGGTGAACAATCGCGATCACTCCTTGCTGCATGATTAGTCGCATGCATGCGCTACTGAGTGTAAACAATGTTTGGTTAGAACAGCAAGCATTTTGATCGCCCCTCGGTGTTCCTATAACAAATAGTCGGAAAGGAATTATTCTATAGCTTTTGTGACATTTTGAAAATGTCATTGCTTTTAGCTAAGTTGCGTCGTCATCTCATACATATATATTGTGAACTGTATTTTGTAAACAATATCTGGTAATATATATGGCCACGAGGTGCTTATTTTATAATTTTATGTGATGTATTTCATTCCCTGGTTCAAAAACACAATCACGATTTCACTTTTAATACTGCGACACAAAGTTGTATCAATCACGGGTATTTTAGGCGACCTAGCACACTTCGCGACAATATTTTATACCGTGTAAATAGATCAGCTTGAACTTTAGAATTTTACTTAAACACGAAGAAAGGACAAGAAAATGCCGTAGAGTTCTAAATTTCAAGCTGATCTATTTATAGATGTACCAACGAGCTCACCTCTTCACTCTTGTACTTAAACATTTTGATTCAGGTAAAAAAATGTGTTACTAGTAAACAAAGGGATGTCGAGTCGTATGAACACGACGTTATGTGCGTTAATGTAGATTTTCTTTTACTCTTGCGTCAAAATTAAATAACAGAATTCCATATTTTGGTACCTAACACCAAAAGTAAATTGCACGGACGATCGAAGAAGTTATATAGTTTATCGTTTCACGGCGTAAATAGTGTATATGGCCAGAACAACGTGGAAAATATATTCTCAATTTAGCGGTTCAAACCGGTTTGAACCGGTTTGAACCGTTATTTTTTGCTCCCCGGAACTGAACCGGAACCGAACCGAAAGCCGTGAACCCGAACCATAACCGAACCGATAGAAATTTCGGTTCGACACTCTGACTATTATAAGAGGTTTTATAGTCACCAAGCTGCTAAACTATTTTAAATTCTGATTATTCAACTTAAACTGAGTACAAACCTCTGGTGTGGATGACTTTCTGGCCCAAAAGATCTCATCAAGGTACATCGCACAACAACAGCAAAAGAAGAAAACAGGAACCATACTTCAAATCACGCGATGCCGCACTTGGGGCACAATTTCGCTCCACGCTTTCGCCTGCCTCTCCCAGCTATCAGACAATGTAACCAAAGGCCACGCTTTTCCATCCCACTCAACGCCCTACCAAACGCACGGGAACATCTCCCGACGCTTCCTCGGCCAAGACCCCGCGAATCCTGCGCGAAACGACTATCGATTCCAGAGTCCCGCGTTTTATTTACAAGTTCCTTTTCGTGAAACGTGGCTGCGGCGGCTGCCTTTCGACCCCCCTTCCAGTCGACATCACTGTACGCACAACACTGACGTCATCGACCTAAAACGCGAGAACGAGCGTGCACGCGTGTAGCCGCCCAGGAGCGTCCAAATGGCAGCGATCATTTTTTGACCCAGACCATTACAGGAAGAGAGAGAGAGGGGCATCCGCATCGCGGGCGCATCAAGTCGACTGCAGCGCCCGGCCCTCCCCTGGCGGCGCTGCGGTTAAACGCGCCATGAGAACCTATCGACCTCCGACAGTTGCGGGCAAAAGGGCTGCTAGCTTGCCAGCCTATAGCCGCTGCGCCGGGCCGGCCGGCTTTAATGTGATTATGCGCCGGCGTCCTCCTCATCATCCAGACCTGACGTTTATCCCGGGGAGCTGGGGTCATTTGGGGAGAGGGGAAAACGGGATTGGGGAGGCGAGGGAAGAGAAGCGGAGCCGCCGCGCTGTCGAAATAGTTTCGCGGACTGAACTCGCTCGTGTTTGTTCCTCCATTTTTACTATGTGTGTGTGTATCCGTTATGGGGTTTCTATTATGATTTTATGCTCGCGCGCTCTCCAGCACTTCACTCTGCGTGCGAGTGTGATTTTGCTGACTATCGACCGTTTACTTTCTGCGCCCTCGGAGCAAAATGATGAAAGAGATCATACGCACAGACAAAACGAGTGGAAATATCCTTTCCATCCTCGAAACAATAGAGCATGGCATGTAACGAAACGAAATGGGGAAAAAAACGAAACTTGGAGAAAAAACGACGTCTTCTTTCTTTTTTTTTCCTTTTTCTTTTCCGCCATACGTGGAGGCGCAGAAATGGAAAGTAACTTATATGAAATTGAAAAAAAAAAAAAAGGATTGCTTCACTTGACTTTTATTAATATTATTTTGTTTTACGGAGTAAGGAAATTTTGTCTCTAGAGCTTTCGTCTTTTCACTTTGTTCTTGTATTCGTTTTGCCAGAGATGATTCAAATTAACAAAGGAAGAGCGGTTGCCTTTCTGAAACTCGTTCCGAGATAAGCTGCAGTTATTGTGAGAATTGTTTTTTGAAGCGTGTGAATGAGCCGGCCTTAAAAGTAGGGGGCACAGGAACAAAACTTTACGGAGAGAGGTAGAGCAAAATGGGTATGAAGAAACTATTTTTTTTTACTTCTTTTTTTTTTTTTTTTTTTTTTTGAGCGCTGTCTTGAGCTACACGAAAATATTAAACATATTACGCAAGTTTTCTTTCATCCCTAGAGTCTTGAATCTGAAATTGGACAACGGCTCCTTGTAATAAAAAATCTCATTTCTGATTTTTTTTTTTTTTGAATGCACGAAAACGAAATGCGAACCATTACTATTCCAGTCAGCAAAATCCCGCTTCGCATTTAAAATTGAACTCCGGTACTTTTTCCTCGATTTTAGGGCTACGGCTGTTTTTAGTGCAGAATGTGTCCCTGAATTACCAGGTGTGACTTATGTTTTGATGCCTCGTGTAGTTGTGTAGATATTGTTGCAACTAACGTCGGACAAACCTCTGTTGGCGTTAGACGAACAGGGAGTAGAAGTAGAAAAGAAAGAAGTCTGCTAAGCTGCCCTGGCACGTGCGTACGAAAAGCGGAAAAAAAGAAAAAAAAAGAAGAACGACGACGACGACGATGAACGTGAACGATTGAACGTTTTGACCTTGCAAGCTTTCGAATGTCGATGTATTATTCTCAGCGGTGTAAATATTAACGTGTTGCTCGTTGTGTGACAATGGAACGATTACTGTGACGACCCGCAGCGACTGCAACAAAAATTTGGTGCCGAAACCCGGGACTGACATCGCTGCGGATACTTCGAAGCTGGAACGTGAGTGACTCTTCACGTACAATGGAAGTCCTCAAGAAAAAGCGCAAGGCCATCCGGTCACAGGTAACTCGACTGGTGAACGACGCAGAAGGGTTGCTAAGGGCCCCAGGACCGAACGTAGCTGAGCTAGAGATGCTCATTGAACGCCTGACACTAGCTCAGGGCCAACTTAACAACGTCGACTCCGCCATCGAACCGCTTGTTTGGGAACAAGACGGAGATGCTGAATTCGCGCAAGTCGTCGAGTACGCAGACAAGATTGTCATATACTTAACCAAGCTGAAGAGCCAGTTAAGGCGCTCGACGGGCGCGGGGCATTCCGGCATAGCCAGTCAGTTGAACGAAAACGGAGACAGACTGGCAGCATCAACATCAAGGAAGGTCAGACTTCCAAAGCTGGAACTGATCAAGTTCAACGGACACCTGAAAAACTGGCTGCCTTTCTGGAACCAGTTTGATGCCGCAATCCACCAGAACCCTGACTTGACACCGTGCGACAAGTTTAACTACTTAAAGGCGGCACTAACAGGGGATGGAGCGGCAGCCATTGATAGACTTCAGTCCACAGCAGAGTGCTACGCGGACGCCATCGATCTCCTACAGCGGCGGTTCGGGAATCAAGAAGCGCTAATCCAGGATCACATGGAAAGCCTCATGGACATACAACGTGTTCCACCTCAGCGCAACGTCAGAATCCTGCGGCGATTGTATGATAGCCTGCAAGCTCGCATCCGGGGTCTCAGGGCACTGGGCGTAAGCGAAGAATCTTACTGTTCAATGCTTTACCCAGTGCTCCTTCGAGCGCTCCCAAGAGAAATGACCATCGAATACCACCGAAAGACACTGCAGGGGGTAGCCGAGAATGCCACTGCCAGTAGATCTGTACCAGCGTCACAGACAAGTTTAGGACCTACCACAGATCGCACACATCTGAGAGCGCTTCGGACTCTCCTCGAGTTTCTGCACATCGAGGTGGAGAGTCAGGAAAAGGCATCTAAAGAACGGCAAGAGGACGTTGGTGGTAAATCCACACCCCATTTCACCAAGCGCGAGGCGCAGAAGAAGTCTACAGATCCCGACATGCCACGAACCTCTACTGCTACGGCTCTGCATGGTGTTGTGGAAGGTCTCGAATGTTTCTTCTGCAACTCAAAAAAGCATGGAACACCCGACTGCAACTCAAGAATAACGCTAGCTGAAAAGAAGCGCAGGCTACAAAACGCCCAGAGATGCTTCCGGTGCACGAAAGTGGGGCACATGGCAAGGATGTGTCGAGGTACACCCTGCTGCAACAGGTGCCGAGGCAGACATACCTCCAGCATGTGCGACCCAGATTATACTCCGAGACGATCTGCCGACGGATTGAACGCACAACAAAAGAAAGACGAAGCACCAGTTAGCCTACATGTAAACGAGGAAAACAAGCCGACAGTACTCTTACAAACGGTTACTGCGTGGGTGGAAGGCAAAAACAGGAAAAAGCGAGCTCGGATTCTCTTTGACAGTGGTAGCCAGCGCTCCTTCATCACGGAAGAACTATCGAGGAGTCTCGGCTGCAAACTGCTCGGGACCGAGATCCTGACTGTCGGAGTGTTCGGAGGCAAGAATAGGGAACGAACGTACCGCAGAGTTCAAGTGATTCTGCGCAACCAACACAGTGGCCAGAAACACATGATTGACGCCCTCGAGACACATTCCATCTCCGAGCAAGAACTCCCTAGCCCTGAGAAGGACGTTATAGAAAAAAATGGAAGAACTCGGGCTTACTTCGGGTGACGACCTGAACGGACTGGACTGTGGCGGAGTAGCGATACTACTGGGATCGGAACATTACTGGGAATGTATAACAGGAAGGATCCAACGACTGAGCAACAGCCTCACCGCAGTGGAAACCGCCTTTGGCTGGGCAATACATGGATCCACACAGTTGACTTCCGATACTGTCAGCTGTTCCCAGGTGATAGTGCTCATATCTGCTGCAGACGAACAAGAGCCAGCCATCTTGAGGAGATTCTGGGAGCTTGAAAGTGTAGGAGTACTCGAAGAGGTGGACCGAGATCAGTCAGATAATGACATTATGCGACGCTTTGAAGCAAGCATCACCAAGACGAAGGGAAGGTACGAGGTTGGCCTCCCTTGGAAAACAGACGTGCACCTAGAATGCAACCGAGATGTGGCATGGAAGCGCCTCGAAAATCTACGAAGGAAGATAAGCAAAAACCCAGACCTCATGCGAAGGTATGACCAGGCTATCCGGCTGTACGCAGATAACGGGATGGCCGAGAAGGTTGAACAGATAAACGGTTTCGAAGGACGTGCTTATTATATGCCACACCAAGCTGTTCTACGAGAGGGTAGCAGCACGACAAAAATGAGGATCGTGTTCGACGCCTCTTCGCACGGACCGAATTCTAGATCATTGAACGACAACCTTGAAGGCGGTCCGAACCTGAATCCAGACCTGGTGGCCCTGCTCCTGAGATTTAGGCAACATCGGGTAGCACTGATTGCAGACGTCGAGAAAGCCTTCCTTCAGATCGGTGTACACGAGGAGGACCGCGACGCCTTGCGGTTTCTCTGGTATAAAGAGTCGCCTCACCCAGACCAACCTACCCCAGAAGTCGAGGTCTGGCGTATGACAAGGGTAACCTTCGGTACCACATGCAGTCCGTTCCTATTGGGAGCAACCCTACAGCACCATTACAAGGTTATGGAAAGCGAGTTCCCACAAACAGCAGAAAAACTGAAAAAATCAGTGTATGTGGACGACCTCTTGACCGGCACAGAAAGTGAGGTGGCGGCCCAGAAGTTCTACACCGAGGCGACCAAAATATTCGGGGCAGCTGGGATGAAGCTTCATAAGTGGGGGTCCATCAGCGCGGTCCTAAAGAAAATGCTGGAGGACAACGTATCCGAAGAGAGAGTCCTTGGACAGCTGACGGGAGTGGTGAAAGTGCTGGGTATAACCTGGGAGTCGAACGAAGACAAACTGTCTTTCACAACAGAACAGGTGGTCGAGTTTACAAGCCAACGCAGAAACACCAAGCGATTCGTGCTCCAGACCACGGCGCGACTCTACGACCCACTCGGTTTCCTCTCTCCTTTCGTGACCCGAGCCAAGATTTTGTTTCAAGAGATCTGGAAGCGGAACCTGCGTTGGGATGATACACTGCCGGGTGAACTGATGGGAGACTGGGAGAGTTGGTGCGACGAGCTCACCAAACTGGGTCAGATCAGCGTGCCCAGGTACTACGACAGCGGACTGAGCAACATAATCATACACAGAGCGTTGCATGTGTTCTCGGACGCCAGCTCTTCCGCCTACGGATGGATTATTTTTCTGTGTTCAACTGACGACAGGGGAACGAAGAAGGCGACAATACTGCTTGCTAAGTGCCGCGTCGCCCCCCTGAAGGAAATTTCCTTGGCGAGACTGGAGCTCATGGCAAGCTTGATCGGATCGAGACTACTGAAGTACGTCAAGACATGCCTCGAAATCCAGGTGGACGAAGTTCATTTTTGGACGGACTCGATGATCACTTTGCACTGGATAAGAGGAGAGGCCTCCAGATGGAAAACGTTTGTCAAAAACCGAGTACTGGAGATACAAGGAAACTCAGGGGACGCAAAGTGGCACCACTGCCCGGGTAAGGAAAATCCCGCAGATTTGATGACCCGAGGGCTGAAAGCTGATCGACTGCTTTCTGCTGCACTCTGGTGGACCGGACCAACTTGGTTACAGCTTCCAGCGTCCGAATGGCCCGAAGAAACTGTTGGGGTGCTTTCCCACGACAAGCTCGAGGAGAAAGTTTCGGAAGCTGTGGTCACGCTAGTGCCTGCAGACACGTCCGTGGAGTTCATGGACATCTCGAGATTCAGTTCGGCTACGAGACTGCACCGAACAACAGCCTGGGTGCTTCGGTTTGTCCATAACCTTCGATCACCAATCAAAACTACTGGATCGCTGAGCGCTGAGGAGATCCAAGCAGCACGAACCGTTTGGATAAAGAAGGCACAAAGCTCGACGTTTGCCTCCGAGATTAGTTGTGCAGCTGAAAAAAAAGCAGCGCCGCCTGGTTCAGCCTTGCGAAATTTCCAAACGTTCGTCGACCAAGAGGGAGTGCTCCGGATCAAAGGCCGTATCCGATCAGCAAACCTTACTAGGGATGAACGTGAACCCATCGTGCTGCCCAACGAGCACCGGTATTCTACCTTGCTGACCATCGAAGCTCACCGAAAGATGATGCACGGGGGGCCACGAGACACTCTCATGCAGCTTCGCGAGAGATACTGGATCATCCGCGGAAGACAATTGGTGAAGAAGGTGGTGCATGCTTGCGTTACCTGCCAGAGGTTCAGTGCCACTCCAGCCAGTGCTCCAACGGGACCTTTGCCGGGTACAAGAACCACGCAAGCTGATCCCTTTGAGGTAGTCGGCATAGACTTTGCGGGGCCGATGTACGTGCGAGAAAATGAACTCACGCATAAGTCATACATTGCCTTGTTTACCTGTGCTGTCACGCGCGCGGTGCACTTGGAGCTCGTGCCGGACATTTCGACAAAAAGCTTCTTGCTTGCGTTCCGAAGGTTCGTGTCGCGAAGGGGTTTGTGTCGCATCGTGTACTCGGACAATGCGCTGTCCTTCAAGAGGGCGTCCAAAGACTTGGCCGAACTCTGGAAGACGCTTCGACATCCAGAGGTGGTAGACCACTTCGCCAACGCGAATATTGAGTGGCGCTATATTGTTGAGCGGGCACCATGGTGGGGAGGTTTCTACGAGCGACTCGTCCGATCGGTGAAAGTTGGGCTCAGGAAAGTGATCGGTAAAAAATGTTTGGACTCGGAAGAATTACATACAGTTCTGTGCGAGATTGAAGCCGTAGTGAATTCACGGCCTCTCACAGTTGTCTACAATGAGATCGACGAGGGCGAGTCGCTCACTCCTGCAAGCTTCCTCACGGGACGAAGGCTGACGGCGCTTCCGGTGGCGGAGAAAAAAGACTTCGCTTCGTCACCTGAGGTGCTCCGCCAGCTTTGGAGACGCAGAAAGGAGGTTCTTAACAGATTTTGGGAGACGTGGCGATCGGAGTATCTAAGAGAGCTCCGATCCGCCTATGAAAGCAAGCAACGGAAATCCACACCCATTGAGGTTGGACAGCTTGTCCTGCTTAAGGAGCAGCTTCCACGTTTGCTGTGGAAGATGGGCAGGATTGAAGAAGTCTTTTTGGGTCGGGATGGAAAGATTCGTTCATGTGTCGTGCGTGTAAACAGGGGATTGTTGCTGAAACGACCGGTACAATTGCTTTATCCAATAGAAGTAACTGAAATTTAGAATAGGCGAACCCATTCGGTGGGGAGTGTGTTGCAACTAACGTCGGACAAACCTCTGTTGGCGTTAGACGAACAGGGAGTAGAAGTAGAAAAGAAAGAAGTCTGCTAAGCTGCCCTGGCACGTGCGTACGAAAAGCGGAAAAAAAGAAAAAAAAGAAGAACGACGACGACGACGATGAACGTGAACGATTGAACGTTTTGACCTTGCAAGCTTTCGAATGTCGATGTATTATTCTCAGCGGTGTAAATATTAACGTGTTGCTCGTTGTGTGACAATGGAACGATTACTGTGACGACCCGCAGCGACTGCAACAGATATGTTATATCACAGTTTTGTTTCGTCGGTCTATGGCGAAGCCGAAACAACAGGCTAGAGAAAATGGCAACCCTGGTGATCAGATCGTGTGACGCCAAGTTCCTACCATGGTAAATCAAAACGTACGATTGGCCTAATTGCGAGAGCGGTTCCGATCAGGCAGGTAAAATTTCATGGCTGTTTTACTGCTTTACTTCGTATATATCAAACTTATGTAGCCAATATTAATGCACATTGCCAGCCGAAAAAAAGAATACCCTTTCAAAAGCCCATCAAGCAACACTGGCGGTTGCCATTATTTGCTCACGAAGCGCGTGATTGGATCCGAGTCTTCGCCAAACTCTGACGCAGCCCGCGTGTCCAATACAGGCTCAGAGTATGTGAGCAAGCAATGGCGGACAGGCGTTGCGCGAACTCCTGCACCACGAGTTGTTCGCAGAGACAAATTAACGTAAAATGTTTTTACGGCACACAACGATACCTTACATATTTTTTTATAAGAACAACAATCTTAGTGGTGTGCAATACACGTCGGAGAAGCGTTGTACGGAAGTCTATCGTAAGCTCGCGTTGAGCAAGAAGGAACTCAACTATGGCCGCCAGGGTAGGTCTCGGGGTCCATGGCTTTCCGAGATCTCTTCGACGAACGGCGCCGACCCACGCCTCCCTGAACTTCTAGTTTTTTAAAGAACTAGTGAAAACACACGTCCAGGTTGTGCAGCGCGTTGTTTGCGGAACCCAAAGCACAGCAAAGGGTGCTCAACATTGCACAGCGATGCCAGTCCCTTTGGCTCCTTGCACTTCGGCACACCGACACGCTTGAGCGAACCTGTGGTCAATAACATTCGCGCTTAATCGCTGATGTGAACTTACGAAGGAGTGCACATCAGCAGTTTTAGCAGTGTGTGGCACGACACACTGCTAAAACGTAAGATAACTAGCAGAAATTGTCCTCTGGGACGGCTGAAACCCATTCAGGAAAGCAGGACGCCAGAAGTGACAGTACAAACAAGTAACCTCCTTGAGCACGAACCTGACGTCGGGGCAGAATGCTCCTTGACAGACGGCCAACCCGCTGACTGCCCGCTGAGAGCCTGGTGATTGTATTTTGAATATCAGTTTTAGAGTG